CTTCTGTGGCAAGTGTTTTCACCTGATGAGCCATCAGTCAGGCCCTTTTTTTTTTTTTTTTGTTCTTGATTAGGAGGTAAAGTGAAATGCCTGAGAGAGGGCTTGGGAGTCAAGTGCCTGAGGTATTTGTGTCTGAGGTTCTGACTGGCTGGGGAACAGGTTTCCTGGGAATGGTGGCCTCATGCCAGGTCCTCCTAACCATCCTGCCTCTGTTCTGAATGTAATGGCTTTCCCTTTTCTGCAGGAACCAGGCCGTCCGCATCCAGGAGGGGAGGTACCGGCACCCTGGCTGCTACACCTGTGCCGACTGTGGGCTGAACCTGAAGATGCGTGGCCACTTCTGGGTGGGCAATGAGTTGTACTGTGAGAAGCATGCCCGCCAGCGCTACTCCATGCCTGGCACTCTCAGTTCCCAACGCCTGACCCTCTAGGTGCTCAGCCTGCCTGTGCTCTCAGCCTCTGCAGACATGACAGACCGAGAGCAAGCAGGCAGGAATGGAGGTGATGGCAGGTGATGGCTCTTATTCGGACTAAGGTCCGAGAGGCCCCTTTGTCCTTGCTGGGTGAAGCCAAGGGTTGGGGCTAGTCTCAGGCTGCAAGTGCTAGGGACAGTTCCACTCTCTCTGGCCTTTGTCCTGCAGGCCAGGTACTGCACTGCAGTCTGAAGTGGCCACTCTGTTTGGCAGGTTTGTGTACAGGGTTGGGCACAGACAGAAGTATCTAGAAGGGCAAGGTGGGCCTGAGGTTAATGATATTCATGGTGTAAAGTTTTGACGTATGAACTCTATATACGTGTGGATAAAACAAACTAGTGTCCTTTTTTTCCTTCGTCCCCTGTTGTTGGGGGAGAAAGTCTGTATTTATGGGTACCCTCCTATTTCCCCTTCCTTAAACCTTACCCGCCATGCACCCCACTGCAGAGGCCTGCTGCTTCTTTTCCTTTTGTTACCTTTGAGACGGCATCCCATTGAGGCAGCATCCCGTTGAGACAGTATCCCAGGCACCTCAAATTTACAGTGCTACCTCCAACAGCACTGGACTTGGACCTACAGTGTGTGCTCACCACATTCAGTGGCTCGCTTTAAGTTGGGTCTATGCTTCCTTAATTCTTTTTTCCAGACAGGGTTTCTCTGTGTAGCTTTGGAGCCTGTCCTGGAACTTGATCTTGTAGACCAGGCTGGCCTCAAACTCCCAGAGATCCTCCTGTCTCTGCCTCCCAAGTGGCGAGTGCCACCACTGCTGGGATTAACTCCTTTTTTTTTTTTTTTTTTTTTTTTTTTTTTAAGATGGTTGCTCGTGCTCAGAGGGAAGGGGTTTCTTCTTTGAAGCTAGGGGAGACACAGAAGACAATCAGTCCACAAACTCAGCTGTGTGTGGAGCTGGGCTGGGACTTGATCTTCCCTCAGTGTAGATGCTTCCAGCCTCACAGACTATGAGTGTACACAGTTGAGCAGGACAAGCAGGAAGGGGGACCCAGTGGTGGTGTGTGGGTGGGTGGAGGAGCTTGACCCCTTAGGCTGCTTGCTGCATTTGGAACAGTGATCCATCAACAAAGGATAACCTTGGACCAGGGCTCCAGGGTGGCCCTGCTCAGGAAGGGCTGTGGCTTGAGACAATCTAACAGAGTACTCAGCCCAAGGTACTACTACCCACCACCCACCAAGGGCTGGTCTTTGGGCCAGGCTGATCTGCTCATACCTGCACCCCTTAGGCTGGCTTCACTGATTTGAAGACAGTACAACAGGTGGGCTACAGCGCAACATCTGCCCTGTGTGGGTGTATTTGAGCAGAGAGGAGGTGGGGAACAGTGGTCCCCTGTAAATCCTTAGTTTTTGGTCTCATCTATCAGCCACCCTTAATTTCAACCACAGAGGCATTTCAGATCATCTTCAGGTGTAATTGTGTGTTCCAGCCATGTCCACTGTCAGCCGGGGGAGGGGAGAGGCATCTAAACAACCCCCTTTCTTTAAGGGGATCAAAGCTGGCTGTGGAGGGCGGGGTCATGATGGCAGTCTCTGCTATCTGGCCCTTTGGGAAAGGAATCTTGGCAGAGACTGTTGCCTTCTTAGACACTGGTGGATATAATTTATACCTTGATATAATCATCTCACCTTTTGCCTGGATGGCTGCCTGATGATAAGCCTGTATTTTTATAGAAAAGATCAAGGCTGGCTGGCTGGCGGAGTTGCCTCAACCACTGGTTAGAAAGGTGTGGTAGTCCCTTTGGTGCCATCTAGTGTTCAATGATCCAACAGCAAGGAAAACTGATCAAGGAAGAAAATTCTTTAGAATTTGGGCTTTGGCACAGCGGGCAGCCAGAGAATTAAACACTTTTTTTTTTTTTTCACTTTTTCTGGAGATAATGTTGAAACAGCAGCTATGGGGCTAGCATCATGTAGCTGCTAAGGCTGTCTTGAAACACATCAGGGGCCACACGTGTTGAGAGATGGGTGACTGCCAGCACAAAGCTCAACTTCGAGCAGTGGCTGCTGGGGAACCGCACTAAGATCAAGAGGGTCTGGATATCAGGTGTGGTATGAACTTCATCTTGAGACTTGGAAACTGCTCAACGCAAGACAGGTTGGGAAGAGTGAGTTGGATAATTACAATGGTTGTATCCCCACCTGCAACAAAGCAGAGTGGGCCAAAATGTGCCACAAGGAGTGGAGGCCCTGGGGGCAGGCTCCCATCCTCACCCTAAGCCAGCTAGTGCTGAGTTGCCATTCTCTCTGACCTGCACACCCCCTTGGCTCAACTGTACTCCGTATTTCTGTCTGCATTTTGGAGACTTAAGTTCAAAAATGACAGATTTGTTAGAAGTGTTCCAAGCATCTAATGAGCCTCCCTTCAAACAGAGCTGGGAGAGTTCAAAGTCACACAGTTGGATAATAATGGCTAAGGCTCTAGGTCAGTGGTCCTCAACCTTCCTAATGCTGTGACCGTTTATTACAGTTCCTCATGTTGTGGTGACCCCCCCAAGCATAGAATTATTTTGTTGCTACTTCATAACTAACTTTCCTACTGTTATGAGTAGGATATCTGATATGTGACCCCTGTGAAAAGATCCTTTGACCCTTGGAGGGGTTGTGACCCACACGTTGAGAACCACGATCTATAGCGTTCTGGATGTATTAAGGATGCTTGGAATGTTTGAACTGTGTTCTCACAGCTCAGAGACAAGACCTCACCATCACACCATCACCTGCTGTGTGGGGAAGGGGAGGGAGTTGGGGAAGGAACCAAACCAGAGCTTGTCTTGGGGGCCTTGGCTTCACTTGTCCTTTGTGTCAAGCTCAGTGTTGAGTTTTCGGGGAGCCAGGTTCCGGAAATTGGGGCTTCCCCACTGGAGGCAGAAGGACCAAGGCCATGGATGGCTTTTCTCATGCTTCAACAAGCAGTTGAGCTGAGATGCTTCTTGCAGATTCACTCCAAGTGACATGATTTTCCAGGTGGAGGCTGCAGAGAAAAAGAGTCACAGACAATGGCAGGTCATTCCAGGATGTGCAGCCCTTTGGATAAAGGACTGGCAGGGTTCTGAGTTTGAAGAGCCATAGCCAGGACATTAGGTGCAGAAGGAAATCCAGCCCACCAGTTCCTGTGAAGGCTGTGACTGCTCAGACCTGGCCCAGCCTTGCACAAGGAGGTGGGGCCCTATCTGGGCAGGAGTATTTGCTGGGGAGTGTACTTAGTGGGGTGTGTGTGTGTGGGTTCTTTGTGCTGAGACACTGCATTCCTGCTGGCTTGGCTTCCTGTTTCTAGATGCATTCCTGTCCTAGTCACCAGGGAGACTGCTTGGAATCTGGGCCTCACATTTTCCAAATTCAGGGCGAGATCAGGCAAAGGGTCCCTTTCTTCCCCACAGTTTCACCTTGGAGGCAGAAGTCACCTGGCTTGGCAAGCTCTTCTTGGACTTGAAGAAAGCAGGACTGCCTGGCCCAGCATCCTGTTTCCCTCATTATATTTGAAGGGCAGGGATGGGGGTGGGGTGGGGTGGGGCAGCCAGCAGCCCTGGGAACTCATGCTGCAGGAAAAGGGCTTGGCCTAAACATCAAGATCTGAAGATGGCAGAGAACAGCAATTCGGGCTCGCATCTTGCACACTGGGTGCCTCAGTTTCCTGACTTTATAGTACTGAACTTGCATTGTTGGTGGCTGTTTGATGAAGGGACCAGAGGAGAGCAGTTGAGAATCAGGTCTAGGAAAAAGCATGAAAAGACTTCCCTTGGCTCTGACTTCAGCCTCTCCTCCCGAGTGCACCCTTGTCTGCCTCTAGGGGATTTGAAGCCAGCTAAGAAAGGCAGTCTTTCCCCCAGAAGGCCCCAGCACCATCTGGACACTTGGTGGTTGGCCATCCATCAGCTGCTGCCTGGGTTCCTTTTAGAATGGAGTTGGGGTGGAATGGGCCAAGGGTGATGCTAGGGTCAGGGAAACACTTAAACTTTAGCTCTGCCACCAGGCAGCTGCAGGCTTACCTCTTGCCCACACCCTGCAGACCCAGCCACCCACATCCCTGCAACTTCGCAGTAGCACCTGGATAAGACAGACTCTTGGGTTGGGTGGAGAGCTCATAAGTAGCTCTGGATGCAGAGCGCCTTGCAATGAGTGCTCAAGAGCGCAGAAACCTTCCCCCTTTCTGACAGACTGAGGGACCTGCACTCAAGCCACACAGCTGGGAGGCCGGATGCAGTCCTACTCTGCCTTCTTCCCTCCGCCAGCACTGTGGGGTTCCATTTCCTTCCGGGCCGTTGTGAAGTGCAGCTCCCACACTAGCAGTTTCCAAGCTGCAGCAGGAATGCAGCCGGCAAGAGCAGGGGCGGGGAGAGGGTGTTATCCCACGCAGCCAACCCTCTAGCGTTCTCGAGTGGGGATGCGCTCCTCCAAGAGCACTGGATTGGGGTCCTTCTGCAGCCAGGGCTGGGGATACGATGGCTGATGGCCGGGAAAGAGCGTCCCCGGACTGAAGTTGCCCGGGTCAGTGCCCTCCACCTGCGTGCCCCGCCCCGGCCCGCCCCGCTGGGGAGTGTCCCGGGACTTCGCCCAACTGGGCGGGGAACATCAGGCAGAGCCGTTCGGGCGCAATTAGGGACTTGGGGACGCCAGGGATCGCTTGGGTGCTGCAGCAGTTGCCACGTCTAGTCGGGGACGCACCATGCTGAGCAGGCGCCGCGTCTTTGCGGTGGAGAGACTTGGCAGCCAGGGTGAGTCGCATTGCCTTCCACCTTGGGGTCTCGTCCTGTTCTCCAGCCCCGCACGGGCGGTGCCCACCGGCCGCGCCCCCTCGCTTCCTTGCTTTGAAGGAGTCAGACAGCGAATAGGCTGCGGACGCCTTGACACAGTGCAGATCCCCCTAGACTTGCAGGTTAATCACCCACTACCCGCATCCGACTGGTCCGTGGGCTCCTTCCCCTACTAATTCCCAGTGTGCAGACTTCTCCTTCTACCCGAGGTTGGGTGACTCCGATATCCTTGCCCCAGCTAGCAGTCCTGGAAGCCCCTTAGCGGGCACAAACCCATTTCCTGGGGAAGGTTGCAGGGTATAGGCTTCCTCATCCACTTCCTGAGCCACAGGGGACGGGCTGGCATCCTTTTCCCGCCAAAGCAGCCCTAACTTCTGCCCACCCAAACCGCAGGCCAGGTATAAAGATGCTGATAAACAGCTGGTAGCTAGAAGAGTGTGGAGGTTCATGTCTATAATCCTAGCATTCGGGAGGCTGGAGCAGGAGGGATATGGGGAGTTTCAGGGCAGTTTGGACTACAGAGTAAAACACTTTCAAAAACAAAAGTAGGCTTCATTGTTTTCAATCCTATCTTAAAAATTTTTTTGTTTTTTTTTCTTTAAAGAATTTGGACTTTTGTGTGTTTTACCTGTGGACTGGCCAGGGAGATCAGAAGAGGGAGCCAGGCCCCTTGGAACTGGAGTTGTGAAGGTCCATGTGGGTGCTGGGAATCCAGCACCTATCTTCTGAAAAAGCAGTGCCTTAAAATACTGAACCATCGATCCAACCCTGTTTTTCTTTTTGACACATGATCATTCTTTCCTAAAAAAGACAAAAGCCCCAAATGAGTATAGTTGCCGTCATTTTGTTTTGTTTTGCAGTGGGGGTGGAGCCCAGTGCCTTGTGCGTGCTTTGGAAGCTGTTAGTGTGTCACATCCCAGCCCTAGTCGCTGTCGTTTTTTATCACTGTCTCCATAAACTCCAGGAGATAGCTCGTCCTGCTTCCTGGTGGCACCGTTTGGCCCCAACCTTCACCTTGCTCTTCCATCTCATATCCAAGTCTCTCCACCTAGACTTAGACATTTCAGGTAGATCCTAACTAAGGACCTATTAAGCCACCTGCATTGCTGATTGTCACAACTTGCAAGGACATTCCCAAAGTGTAGGTTCCTGTCTGTTGACAATTGTTATAAGGAGAACCCAATTCTTCCAAGCAGGGGTAGAACCTTTTCCCAATAGGGCTGTGAATGGCTTGTGTCCTTGCTCACCACTGGTATAGGACACACCTCTTCAAGTCCTTAAGGAAATGTGGCCAACTGCTAGGAATGCTGGGGTGGATGAGGGCAGTCTGTCTAGCGTGATACTGACTCTCCTTACAGATGGGGCCTTTGAAGACATGGCACAAGGCTGTGTGGTGCCAGGGTTCACCTGCACCTACAGACGGATACCAGATAAAACCCAAGGATGTTCACTGGACTTCGGGGAGGGACAGATGCCACTTCTGAAATTGGCTTCCCAGGACTCAGGCATGGAGATGGTGGTTGGGGATAGCCCCTTGGCCACGATATCAGGACTTTCTCAAGATTCTCTGAACCTTGAGCCCATGGGGAGCCCTGAGCTGCCTTCTGCCCAGCTAGACCGGCTGCTGGCCCGAAGGAAGCTGGACCAGGTGCTGGAGAGGTCTCGAGAATTTCCCAGCCTGTCTGGACAGCGGCGCAGGCGCCGCTCCCTGCAGATGCTGAGCAAGCCTGTAGGTGGAGTGCCCATCTTTGCAGGGGAACTACAGTCCACTGAGGCAGATACTGAGCTAGAGGCTGAACTGGAAGAGGCAAAGGTGGTGAGTATTCATCTTGGCTGCAGACTGGGGTGGAGAAGGCCCTGCCTTGTGACTTGTAGGGACCCTCACCCCATTTCCCCTGGAGCTCTTTCGAGGTGGGGCACTCCTTGTCCTTAATTGATGGTTGTATCACTGCATCTTGCTTCACCCTGGACCCAGTGGTATGTAGCCACCCCCACAGAGGAAGTAGACAGGTATGGGTGCCATGCTCATCTGGGCACCAGGGCAGCCAGGTGTGTCTTCCTCAGCTTGCATGCTGTTGCATTCTGTTGGTTCGGCATAGCCTGACCACCCAGAATGGGAGTCTTGGCTGAACTTACAATTCTTCCTGTCTTGACATGATCCCACAGGTGGGTGATATGGAGTCTGGAGCATTGACCTGCCTTCCAGGGCAGGGTTTACGTTACCTGGAACACCTGTGCCTTGTGCTGGAGCAGATGGCAAGGCTCCAGCAGCTGTACCTGCAGCTGCAGACCCAAAGACCCCCTAGGGTAAGTGGTAGCCAGGTCAGGTAGTGAGGGAGGCTGGGGGGGAAGGGTGGGACTCCTGGAAACATGAAGACCTTTTGAACAGCCCCAGCATCCAATGAGTCTCTGATTGCCCCATCTCTGTCATCTCAGCATCCCCAGGAGGAAGAACTGACTCTTTCATCATCGTCCCATACCCCAGACAACAGGGTGCAAGGCCACGGAGAACAGTTAAGCCAGACAAGGGACCCAGGTAAGGGGAGAGGTGTCTTCCTCTACCCTCTGCCTGCCCAGGGCCTCATCAGCAGACCCCCTGAACTGTAGCTTAGCACGATTGCTTCCTGCTTGTTTCTGGCCCCAGGTGATGTGGTTCTCTCTCTGAAGGTGCAGAGGCAGCTTCACTCTCAGAGGTGGGGGTGCTCACTGCCAACCCTCCCAGGCTGCCAGAGGCCTTGCTGGAATCAACCCACACCCTTCCCTCCTCCCAGGAACACAAGGTAATGATTGTTTGGAGCAGGTGGTAGAATGGTGCAGGGTAAATGAGCATGAGGATGTGTAAGTGCCCCAAATCAGAACTTTAGGGAAATGGTAGGAATCCTGTTTGGAGCAGGTGATTTGCTCTGGCAGTGAAGTCCCTGGGAGCATTGTTAGGAATATCTAGTATTTAGATGCTTGGTCTGATGACCCCTATTCTCTGTTCAGCAGGATCTCTCCCACTGGGACAAAGTCAAGGTCCTGCTCAATCGCATCCGCTGGAGAAGCCCTCGACTCCTTGAGCCCCCTGCTCCTCCTGATGGTTCTGGACCCAGGTGAGCCTTGTGCCTGGTCCAGGTTAAGGCAGTGGGGAGAGACTGATGGGCCAGGATGTTGATATTCTGTCCTGACAGTTGTCATTTTTATCCCTATGGAATATGTGAGACAAAGTGTTGGAGAAGCTGCTCCAAATAGCAGAAGTAGTTAAGACGCCCCTTTGTTGGTAAGAAGACTGAAGACTAGATGAGATTAGGGACAGTGGCTCTCCCAAAGCCACAACCAGATTACAGGGTATCTTTTTTTTCTTTTTTAATGGAGCATACCTTCACTTGCCAAGCCCTCACTCCTTAACACTGAGATTAGGGGGTGGTGAGGTAGACACTGAGGCAAATTATTTTACTCTGTGAAATGTGTCATGTTTGGAGGATTGTTCTTGAGGGAGAAGAAGCACTGCTTTAACAATCCTATCTTCTCCTCAGGACATAAGCAATGCTTTAGAGTCCTGCTTCTTCCTTCTAGTCTTAACTTCTCCTTTGCCTTTTTGTAGAATGGAGTTCAGGAACCTCTCTGAAAGGATTCAATGCCACTCCCACCGGAAGACCTTTATGCCAACACTGGTGGTTAAGAAACCACGAGCAAAAAACCTTTCTGTGTGACCTCTTGGTGTGCCTGGTGACCTTGGGGGGAGGGGATTTGCCATGAAGTCCCATCACCTTTTGGCTTACTGCTGTGTCTCTGCACTGCCAGGAAAAGCTGTTTGTGCTGGCTCCTCTTCAAGGTGAGGGCCAAGCCATTCTCTAAGCAGGATGGCCAAGGAGCCCTGGTTCCCTGAGAGACCCTCAAGTGCAGTTCTGGCCATCTTCCAGGGTTCTTCCTCCTTGTCAGAAATCTCTGAGCCCAGGCAATGTGAACGGACATGTTTATCAGGTGCTCACAGAGCGTGCTTAGTATGGTAATGTGCCAGCGTGTAGCAGATGTATGTTTATGCAATCTTTGTTGGACTGTTGACTACCTGGATTCAGTCATCTGACGGAATCATGTATTCAAAGGGTTGGTGCTTTGTGTGTAACTGTGGAAGGACAGCACTGATCTTCGTTCCATAATGGACAGTGACTGATGTGGATTTCTAATTTCTTCCTCATACCTGAGACGGCAGCCCTGCAACAGAGAGCAATACTGTCTTGGGGAACTTTGTATTGAGTCTCGGCCCTGGAGCATGGCCTCTGAAGACTGAAAGAGCAATGCGGGGAAGCTGAAGTACAATGTGGAGAATAGCAAATAACGTCAAGGTCAATTCTAAGTTGCTGTGTTCTCTCCTGGAATTTAGACTATGGCAACATCACTTAATTTGTGAGCCATAGCTTCCTACTTGGGATGATGCCTGCCTTACCTACCTCATGAGCTTGTTAGGAGGATAAAGTAACACTAAACTCTCTCAGTGTGTGCTGTGACTGTTAAGTGGATAGAAAAGTGTGCTGCCAGGGTCAGACAGGAGTGGAATGATGATGGGAGGAGGGTCAGAGGTTAAGGGAGGGTGGCAACCTGATTTCTGGCAAGAATTTTGAGTAAGTCATTTCACTGAGATCTAGTACATTCCATATGTGAGATTTTGGGCATGGATTTCTGATACACTTAGCCCTTGCTGGTAGTGCTGTCATTAGAAGGGCAGGGATAGGGATGTGGGTCATTGGCTTATGTCAGACAGAAGAATATCTGCTTGAAATAGCCCCTGAGTAGGCATGCTCCTCCTCCAGTCAATGAGGTGCTGCTTCTTTTGTTGCTGTAGTTTTGGGGGTTGGTAGCGTAAAGCAGGTGTGTGAGTAGTAGTCCCTTCCTTGTATTTGAGGGAGGGGTCCAGTTCCAGTCACCTTGAAACTAGGAACCAATGCTCTGAAGCCTACTTTTCTAATGGGACACTAGAGCAAGGACACCACTGAGTTCGGTTTCCAAATGCATTATCAGATCTGGGAAGGCGCACTTCCGTTCCACAGTTGGAGCGGGATGGCTGGCTGGCGTGGGGGGAAGGGAGAGGTCGATGGAGAAGAGGGAGGTACCATATCCGGGAGAGTGGCAGCTTCCGACCAGTGGTCGCTCTTCCGGAGAGGCGTTTCCGGTGGTGGTGGCAGCAGCGGCTGCGGTGGTTCCGGGTGTCTTTGTCCCCCTGGTGTCGTGGCCCTGGCCCGCAGGTGGGTTTGGGGCCTCCTGCTGAGCCTCTGCCTCTCCGTCTCTCTCGGGTGGCGAGGCTGTAGGGGTCCGATCTGCGAAGATGTGCCAGTCTCCGAAAGAGCCGAGCCCCCCTCCGGACTGCAAGCTCCGTCTCCCTGGCAACGGCCTCGGCCCTGGGGGCGGGCGGGAGGAGGAGAAACCTCGCGCCGTGGTCCTCCCACGGTGGCCTCTCGGTGGCTCGGCCCGGAAGGCTCTGCGCAGGCGGCTGCAGAGGCCGGAGCCGAGGGTCGGGACCTAGGAGGAGGGAGCGGCTGGCAGGCCCCTTGGCGAGGCAGGCTGGACAGCTCCCTTCCCACCAGCCGGTCGGAGAGGACGGGCGGGCTTCCGGGGAGAGGGCCCGCATCATCTCTCGCTACTCGCACCTCCATTTTTTCCGGGCCCTGCGTGGAGTGTTTTGGCGGATGTTTTTGAATGAATGAATGTCATCGGAGCTCTTCCAGCCCCTCACTCCGCCAGCCTCTAAGGGTGCCAATGGCATAGTGAAAGGAGTGCTAAGTTGTTGGGAGACTTGGGTGTGAGTCCTGCTCTGTCACTACCTGGTTTTGTGGCCTTGGGCAAGTCTCCTGATATCAAAGCTCCAGTTTCGTTGTCTGTAAACCAGCATGTCACTAGCGCCTACCATTAGGTTATTGTGAGATCAAACTGGAGTAATGTAATTACCCATTTCATTTCCTCTACATCCTCTCCATTCCTCCATTTTAGGACCCACCTCCTCACCTTAAAAGCTTTACTTCATTAACATTTTTTCAGGTAATAGATGTAAGTTTTCCATTTGAGCTGTTAATGTCTTTCTTTTTTGATTGAAGGTTTCCCAAGACCTTGAAAGGACAGCATTCCCAATGTCCCAGTTTAAGCGCCAGAGGATCAACCCACTTCCAGGGGGACGAAACTTCTCAGGTGCTTACCTTCCTTAATCGTCTGCACTTTGGACTCAGTTTCCAAAAATTTGCTTCTTGGGTGTTTCCCTGAATGTCTGAGGAGCTGGTTGGAGCCACTTTGACCTCTGGGTTTACAGGATCCTCTGCTGTCACTAAGGCTTAGGGTGGTAGGGTTCAGTTTCTGGAGGCTGCTTCTCTGTCTCCTAGGCTCGGCTTCAACATCTCTTTTGGGTCCTCCTCCTGGTTTGCTTACTCCTCCTGTGGCCACAGACCTGTCCCAAAATGCAAGGCACCTTCAGGTACGTCGGGTCCCCTTTCCAGTGAGTTTCTGCTTGGGGCCACCCTAGTGTGTTTGGATATCTGGTGTGTGATGCTTCTTGTGTTACAGGGGTCATCATCCCTGGGTTTTTTGTTTGTTTTTGTTTCCTGGTAGTGAACCAGTGTTGGGGAACTTAGGCATCTTTTAGACTGGGGAGTTTTTAGTATCTGGGCCCTAGAGAGATCTCCTGGTGCCTTTTGGGATTAAAGAACTGAACATTCCAGAAGCATGAAAGTGAAGAATTGGCTTCTCCCCTCTTCATAGATGGGTTGTGTCCACTATGTGAGGTTTCCTGTAACACCATGAGCCAGGGCCCTCATGCCTAGAGAAGAGGCCCTAGTGGCAGAGCCTGACGTTGTCCCTGTGGCTTCCTTTGCTTTTGACCTGCTGTCCCCTCTTGCAGGGTGGGGAGAAACAGCGGGTCTTCACTGGCATTGTTACCAGCTTGCACGACTACTTTGGGGTGGTAGACGAAGAAGTCTTTTTTCAGCTAAGGTAGGCTTGAGGCTCATCTTTACTGGGAGTGGTTGTTGGATTCAGTCCTGTCTCCATGCTGGCGGGTCCGCTCTTTAGGGCCATTGCTTTGTTATTTTACTGCAAGGTGAGAAATCTCGATGGGAAGGGCTTCCTGGGGCAGTCAGGGTAGCTTTTACCAGGGCCCTCCTGATGGGGCCTCCTGGTTTGTGTGCTGGCAGTGTGGTGAAGGGCCGGCTACCCCAGCTGGGCGAGAAGGTGCTGGTGAAAGCTGCATATAACCCAGGCCAGGCAGTGCCCTGGAATGCTGTCAAGGTGCAGACACTCTCCAATCAGGTATTTATCTCTCTTAGCATGTGCACTGAAAAGGGGTGGGAGAGAGGAGGGCCCTGTACCCTGACTTCCGGGCATAACCCTTTCTCCTTTTGAGGGGATGGGATGTCTGTCTTTCCATGGTATCAAGGCTGGGGTCCCCTGAACTTCGTGGCTATTTTCTTTCAGCCCTTACTGAAGTCTCCAGCACCCCCCCTTCTGCATGTGGCAGCTCTGGGCCAGAAGCAAGGGATCCTGGGAGCTCAACCCCAGTTAATCTTTCAGCCTCACCGAATTCCCCCGCTTTTCCCTCAGAAGCGTGAGTACAGGTGGCATGCATGTTGGGGTGTGGCTTTGTGGGGTACTTTTGAGGGAAGGACTTTTTACTTTAACATAGATGCTCTCAGGACAGAAGGGGGTACATCTGGACCCAGGAAGAGGAGGAGGAAGTTGCATGGGGCTTTAGGGCTTTTGAATCACTGGCCATTTCCTTTCTTCAGCTCTGAGTCTCTTCCAGACATCCCACACACTTCATCTGAGCCACCTGAACAGATTTCCTGCTCGGGGTCCTCATGGAAGACTGGACCAGAGCCGAAGGTAAGAGGATGATCAGGCTCGATAGTTCATTTCATTCCCCTCTCAGAGCCATGGTCCACGTTTGACAACTGTTGACACTAACATCTTTTTCTGTGCATAGATAGAGCCTAATAGTCCCTTTTCTTTGAAAGGCAGACACACATGCAACAACAGTTTACACTACCTCAGCAAAGCTGAGATTTAGTAAGTTTGTATTTCAAAATGTCACTTTGTTTTCATGGTTTTGCTTGCCTGCCTAGTGCTGGGTATTATTCTACATCCATGTGCTGGGCTCGCAGGTGACACTACCTAGCTTGCTTATGCATTTTTTTTTTTTTTTTTTTGTATTAGTATTTTGGGTGTGAGATTGCGTGTTTTCCTATGAATTTGTATTGAGGTGTGGACAGGTGTATGTAGAGCCAGGAGGCTGATGGTCAGCATACTCTGTTGGTTTTTGCTTGTGTTAGAGACTGTCTCACTGGAGCTTGCCATTTTGGCTAGGCTGACTGACTAGCAAGGTCTAGAGATCCTCCTGTCTGCCCCTTTCCAGTGCTGGAATTACAGACCATGTCACCACACCCAGCTTTGACTTGGGTTTTGGGAATCCTCATGTGTAGCAAGGGCCTTTACCCACTGAGCCATTGCCTTGGCTCCAGATACTTAAAAAAATAATTTCCCTTTTGTTTCCAGTCTTTAACATAGAGATACAAGAATTGTTACAAGAATTGTTACAGGAAAATAGTAACATCAAAGAAAGGAATGTTGCAGAATGTTTTAGTTCCTAATTTAACATGGCTTCTTTGAAGTATATTTTGTGTAACAGTGCTTTGCAACACAAGCTGCAGCATATTCCAAAGTTCAGGCTTTGTCTTGGGTGCATAGCTTTCTTGATCTTATTATGGAGTAAGGATGGTTGATTCAGGCCCTTGAGATGTCCTGTGGTCCTTTACCATCTGCAAGTTTGGGGAGTTTCCAGAAGCATGCTCAGTGTGT